CGTCAGCTTTTTAACTCTTTACGGTGGCCAATTTATAATTTCAACTCAGTTGAAATAACCAAGTTACCTGTTACCCCGACCGACCCAACATCACAGTTTCTTTAGAAACTTACCCCTTTATCTTTACTAAAGATAGGTTGATAATAAATGAGCGATTATATTTTCCAGGATCTTCTGTCAAACGTTCGAATAATTGCTGATTTCCTCAACAAGCCTCTGTCAGATGACCTCGCCAATCTCATTGCCGAGCAGTGCACTTTCAAAGGAATGATGAAGAATATGCAAAGCTACTTGTTAAGAGGCAAGGAAGATGGTCCAAAGTTACTTCAGAAAGGTGTGGTCGGTAACTGGAGGGAACATTTCACCCCAGAGTTGAACGAGAGATTTGAGAAGGAAGTTTTGGCAAAATTGAAAGGGTCTGGATTAGAGTTTGACTTTGAACTGTGACAGATCAGTATTTTCTCCTTTGCAGAGGCTCGGACCATACGGTCAATGTACAATAGCATGTGAAGTCGACATGATAACCCAATATCTGTAGCAGATTTCGTTTGTCATGTCGAATTCAAAGTGTACTTAGTTTCCAAGCCTCTAGTCTGTGTAGTGTTCGCAAACTTTTGGAAACTTAGAGAGAAGTGTCCCCTTTTGCAGATTTTTAAAAAGTATATAATAAAACAATTATGGAATTCAGTTTTCGCATGATATCATGAATTATCAAACCTCGTATCTATGTCATCTGCCTCAGCCTTCGGCTTCGGCGGGTGATAATGCATGATATCATGCTCAACCTCATCTAATAACTGCCTGTTTGTCAGGCTGTATCTCTGATGGTGCTGAATGCACAATGTATTTTCCCAACACTGTGGATATTTTCTAGAACGACCAAAACACTCGTACATGTCTAAAATCACTGAAACACACTCTTTCATGTACGAAATTAACTCTTAAAGTGAAGCGGTTAGCTAAAATTAAATTGAGGAATTGACAAACTAGGCAAAAAATGATGGACAATAAAGATACCAAAAAAGGTTGATGTGTCAACTGATGTTGAGGCTGATTGTAGCTTAAGGATTCTTGTTACCTCTACTTACGGCAAATCTCCCAGCTGCTTTCCTGATCCCTTTCCAGATGCCTTAAAATCTTTGGTTATTTATCGATTTACACGTGCGGGATAGAAATCCCGTCACAATGCTGAAACAAATGGCCACTTTCCTACTAAGGTAAAGGAGTACCTAGTGACTGACAATAATCTTCATGTGAAGGTGTAGTCTGATCGTCCGGTTAAATTCGAAGACCAGGGCAGCTTCCAAAGACATTGCGACCCTTGGATAGTAGGACTACGGGAAGCAAAAGCTCTTGTAGTTATGATGTAGCTGCACGTTCAGCTCCAGGTGTAAACGGCTTAATTTAGGGCAATGAGAAGTTCTAGTTAAGTCTTCAACTTTAAAACATTCAGCTTAACGTTTTTGCTTACACTAGAAGTATTCAAGTGTTCGCAAACATGAAGATTATTGCAGTAAATGGTTTGAACCCGGGGGTAACATGTGAAGGTGTAGTCTGATCGTCCGGGTGAGTGTAGTCCTGAGAAGGACTGTTGTCGGTGGTAGTGACTCACGTTTCGACAACCTTTAGGGAAGTCATCATCAGAGTCAATGATTGTTGTCAGTAGAATGTTCTTATCCCAGTTCGTGTGAAATGATCGGTTGGTTTTGGAATAATGACATTCTACTGACAATAATCATTCACTTGACTCTGATGATGACTTCCGCACAGGTTGTCGAAACGTCAGTCACTACCACCGACAACAGTCCTTCTCAGGACTACACTCACCCGGACGATCAGACTACACCTTCACATGTTACCCCCGGGTTCAAACCATTTACTGCAATAATCTTCATGTTTGCGAACACTTGAATACTTCTAGTGTAAGCAAAAACGTTAAGCTGAATGTTTTAAAGTTGAAGACTTAACTAGAACTTCTCATTGCCCTAAATTAAGCCGTTTACACCTGGAGCTGAACGTGCAGCTACATCATAACTACAAGAGCTTTTGCTTCCCGTAGTCCTACTATCCAAGGGTCGCAATGTCTTTGGAAGCTGCCCTGGTCTTCGAATTATGACGAGGCAAAAAAAAAATCGCAGAAACGTAAGACGGAGTTTCATCGGTAGGAGCAAACACAAGGGATAGTTTTACAATAACTGTCAGTAGAAATTCACCCGTACTTATTGGTTTAAGGCATTTGCAGTTGAGTTTATAGATCATAAAAATGACGTAGCAGGTAACATTATGTCGGAAAAGCAATGAAAATATATAGTTTTTTAGTATGCTTCCACATTTGTCGAAAATAATCCAATTATTTCTTAATTTGCTTCAATGGTAGGTTATTTGATGGTGCATTTCCCTTTTTTTCGAAAACTTTGCCGCATTATGGCATTATTCGATGTTATTGTAAGAAACGAACCGACCACAATTTTCCATTTTTCCTTTAACAAGTAGATTGCATGTTTCCATGCGTCCTCCATGCGCCTGTTGTCCAATAGATCTTCAGCAAGAACAAAGGTATTTATGACAAGCTGAACCAAGCACGCATCTTGATTGGTTTTTACTTATGATCTATTTGAGGTCAGACGCATGGATAACGTCACCATTTTTAACAGCATTTTGTATTTTTATTATACAAAACAAATAGATTGCATTTTGGCATGGGTCTGTTCAACAATATCCAATAGCATGTCAAAATTTCTTGTTCCTAGCACATTTTGGCGTCATCTATTAATGAACAGAATAGAAAATTGAAAATTGTGGTAGATTTTTTAAATGGAGTATTAATAGTAACTGTGCTTCATTCATTAACTTATCCCCACTGGATTTAGTCCATTTCGAATTCTTTCGAATTCATTCACCATCTCGCTTGTTGTTCTCAGAAATTTCTGTGCGGTTAGCAGCGTGACAATGCGGTAGTGTGACTTAAGTCATGTGATCATTATTGTTTTCGCATAAGCCTTCGAGGCGGCCAGATGTTAAATATGGGCCTCGTTGGATTTGGTTCAGTGGGCACACAAATGTGACATGGAAACCTCGGATTTCGCTCATCGAAGGGGCAGAAGTTAATTTTGATCCTCTGGATTTCGTACATCGTGACAACATGGCGACTTTTCCAGTCCTTCAGGAAAGTGAAGGGGAATGGACATCTAGTAAACTTGTTGAAATCTTGCGATTAAGAATTCCTTCATCTTTTGTTCCTGACCCTCAGTTGCTGCATGATTTCATCACTGGTTTTCAGACCAGACCGGACGACGTGTTCGTTGTAAGCTATCCCAAATCAGGTGCGTTGTGTCTTCTGAAAGCGTTTGTTCGCGCTAGGGGAGGCAATTTCTTGACGTTTTCTAGCCTTCAGTACAGGCACCTCATTTGGGCGAGTTGGCGTTGCACGCGATCATCTATTTGAGAAACGAATATGGGGGGAGGGGTCGGGAAAGGCACCTACCATGTTGATAACAGTGTTCTTTTCTCCTAGCCTTCCGCTGCCGTAAAATCAAAGTTGGGAACTACCTTTTTAGCACGAAATCCCATTTCTGCACTAACTTAAGCGAATAAAACCAAATGAAAACAAGACACAACAAATCAAGGAGAACATTGGATTGTGGGCTGCGAGCAACGCCATCAATCAGTTTATTGAACTACAATTGAGATATATGATTATAATCGTAACCGGATCTGTCAACTGCGAGTAAGCGAGCCAGGGGGGCCAGAAAAAACCTGCCTCAAAAAACCCACANGGCCAGGCACCACTTACGTCCCCCGCCAGGACTTCTAGGCAACAGCAAATAGATGGACATAATAAATACGATAAATAAATTGATTGCAGTAAATAGTAAACTAGAACTACAATAGTTATAAACTAGCAAAAAAGCACAAAATAATCGCAAACTAATGACAAGAAAAGCTCTTTCAGCTAAGCAAGAATAAACTCTAAACTAGCGTAAAGTATACCCTCATAGCAAAAGCGATTTTGAAACGCTTAAACGATCTTTAATTGTATGTTTAATGTATCTGTTCTTCGAGGAAGGACACCTCCACCCCACATGCATATCCAATAATCGCCCGGTATGCGCCTACAAGCGGCGTTGGACGCTGCACCAGACCTCATACTATGCGTGCCGTACTTTGAAACGTCGTCAACAAAGGGCCGGATTAGACACGCCCTTGCTAGCGTGGAAATACTCGCCAGATTTGGACTTCACAATACGACGAACAAGCGGAAGCGATAAATTAGACTGCGACAAAACCTGAATAATTCGTTCAGTAATGGAGACTGGGCACGTAGATTTCCCAGACCAGGCAAGATAAGAGGTGTGACCCTCCCGATACTGGTTATTTTTTCGCTTGGAGACAAAAATAGACATATGGTCAGCATTGATGGTTACATCCTTAAGGCAAAAACTGTTAATTTCATCAATACGAAAAAACCCATAGAAACCAACTAACAATATGAACAAAAAACGAAGAGTGGCAAGAAAATTACTCGCAACATAACATTCGGCAATTGCCTGCAGCGTGTCTACGGATAAAGGCTCCTTCGGGTTAACAGGACGCGCCAATTTTCTTTTCGCGCCCTCAAGAGAAGATTTCACAAGGGGATGGTTGACAGGACATATTTCTAGCCCAGCCATAGAGTGGGCCCACTTAATGCCATAAACAACAGCTTCTATGGGGGAGACACCCGTATTGTTG